CTAACATACCACTCTTGAACCCCGATCCTTCCGCCAGGCAACGTAGTGCCGTACAACAGCGGAACACACAAAACAAATCGTCTTACGATATGACAAAAATCACGGACAATCCATAGAAAAGCCGCACCTGACTAAAAGCCGCAGGGTTCAAAGCTTGTGCAAAAAGTAGCGGCTTATAGCCCGACATTTACGGTAATTTGAATTCACTTGAATTATTTGTGCTAATTTTTTTTCTCTGTCCTACTTATGTTGGACCTCACATCGGCTTTTGACACTGTTTCCATCACATCTTCCTTGAAAGTCTTAAACATTGGGTTGGTGTATCTGGAACTGCCTTAGAGTGGTTCTCCTCATATCTACATCACCGTTAAATCCTCTATCAGGGATTTAGGTGTCACTTTTGACTCGACACTTACATTGGACGGGCACGTGAATTCTCTGGTTCGGTCTTGTTTATATAATTTAAGGAATGTGGCTAAGCTAAGCCCTGTTTTATCTCTGAACTGGAGATTGCTATACATGCATTTATTTCCTCACGCTTGGACTATTGTAACTCTTTGTTTATGCGTCTAAGCAAAGGTTCTCTGGATCGTCTGCGGGTTGTGCAAAACGCTGCAGCGTTCACATGTGACACCATTGCTATCTCAGCTACACTGGCTTCCTGTTGAATTTAGAGTCCATTTGAAGTTCCTGGTCTTGACATTTAGAGCCTTACACGGACTGGCACCAGCCTACATCGCTGATCTGCTACAGCCCGATGTCCCCAGCAGGTCCCTGAGGTCATCTGATCAGGGCTTACTTGCTATAAAACAGACTAAGATGAGAACTAAGGGTGACAGAGCTTTTGCCACTGTGGCCCCGAGACTGTGGAACCGTAAGAACTGTGGACTCAGTAGTTGTTTTAAAAAAACAACCTTAAACTCACCTTTTTAAAACTGTTTTTCATAAAATTTGTGCCTGTTTTGTATTGTCTGTTTTACCTTTTATTATTTTTTTATCTTATGTTCATCACTTTGTGACTCTGTCTAGAAAGGTGCTATATAAATAAAAACAATTTTTTCAAATTTATTTTATGTTGGTGTGAGTCTCTGCATTGCTGACATTTATGGTAGCACAAGTTTCTTTTTCTCTATTTTCAGTTTCACTCATAGAGAAACTGAAAATACTTCCACTGTTCATGTGGAGTGGAGCAGAAAGGAGGCCGATGTAATGAAGATACTTTTTATTGAGTCCATGGCAACTGATGATATTAATGCAAAACAACCTGTCCGATGGGTGTCGAGGCCAAAATAGCAAAGAAAAGAGAGAGAGAGATGAAGGGAGAAGCCAATGGGAATCGACTGTAGTCAACATAAATTTCTGCAAACACGCTAAACACACGGATAGCACATCAAGCATGAAACACCTTTAAACTGCAGATGTGCAGAAACAAATGAAAGCATTTCAGTATCCAGTCCAGATTTTGTGCATTCATAAAAAACGATAAACGAGCAACCTTACACCTACACTACGCTGTAGGTTTCACTCAGAGTGAAACCTACAGCCTGATGCCTGCATAGAAACCCACAAATAGCAGTTGGATGACACTCAAATCAGTTGTGGTGTGAAAATGAATTCTAATGAAATAACCTCCTCAGCCAGTGCAGAGAGCAGTTTTGCATGTTTGCAGACTGTGTTTATACTTTGCTTTTCAAAATAAAATAAAAAACACTTCTGAATCTTTTGCTCTTTTTTTGTGATTTCATTCATTTCTAATGTGTTCTTTGAAATCCCCCAGCTGCTTCGATGCTCTTCCTGTGCCAGCCTGGCAGAGCATTGTTGTGGTCCACCATGTTCTACATAGAGCTAACTAGGCCACAGAAAGACGTGCGTTGCTGTTAATCATTTGTCTCTTATGGTAATGACTCTCAAAAGAAGAAAAGACTCACACCTTTGAAGTCTTATTAGGTGTATAATTTGTGATTTTTTAAATCCATTTATTGTTTAAATCAGTTTTACATTTGTAAAGCGTAGTTTTGTTGCTTTTATTATGACTCATTTCCTGTTATGTGTACATATATCTACTCTGTGCTAGAACTTTGCCAGTTTCTCACGTCAGCTTTCCCTCATTGCTACTCAGTCTGCTTCTGATGTAATGATGTTAGCCAACATTTCACATTTGAATCCTCTTTTATAATCGTCTTCACAGTTTCCTTATCTCACAGATACTGACCCACTCCTGCAGACGCACTCTTCTCCCCTGACACTAACATATTATTGCTTTTGTTAAAAGTAGCATGTAATGATTTCCTAACAAGAGTCTGTGCAATGCAGTGCAGTCGTGTGATAGTGAACACTAACTATCAGTGAGCTGATTGTCGTCCCGAAAAACTGAGGACAGAGACTGGTCCTTGTTACTCTCTGAAAAATCAGGTTTCTAGATCAGAAGTTTCCAAATGATGTGCCTGGATTCAGTTCCACGTGTGCGATGGGATTTTGTAACTGCTAGGTCTCTGAGGTCAGCTGATCAATGTTTGTTTGTGGTACCCAGGTCCAGACTAAGAACTAAAAGAGGCTTGCTTTGGAGGTTGTGGGTCCGAGTTGTTGAACTTGCATCTGTCGGACTTGTTCAGACACTGTTGATACCTTTAAGAAGAAACTCATGATCCACCTGTTCAGGTCTCCTTTATGTCATTTTATCTGTTTATTCCATTTTAATTGAAAGTGCTACACAGATACATTTTAAAGCACAGCAGTTGTAAATTCATGGATTCATTTACCGTTTGTATTTTTGTTTTCATGATGGTTGGATCAGAGTCCTCCTGGTGGTAGACGGCAAACAACAGGAGTCAATTTTGTCCTTAATGAGATTCAAAGTGTTGGCATAAATTTTCTTGTAGGGTATCGCATCCAAATCATTATCTGGTATTAAAGAGACCAAAGTGTGTGATCAAGTATTTCCACCTCTACCTGTCGAGTCTTGGGCTGTCCAGTTGTGGTAAGCCTGCACTCGCTGCAGCCTTAGATGGATTTTCTTGGATGACGGGTTAAACTCCAACGTATCTTCTGCTCTTTTATTCCATCCATCTTGACGTCTGATGTTGCAGTGAGAGGACCTTTTTCCTTTTTATCGAGGTTTTCATTAGTAATTATATCTTGACACCTTCAACTCAAACCAACCATCATAACATAGCAACAGATTTATTTCAATCTTTCTGACTAACGCTGACTTGTATGACCTGCTGCATGATTTGAGGATTAGATCATTACATGAATAAGCAGGCGAGTGAGTGTACACACACAAGTACTACCACTGGCTTCATACTACTTTACTTGGGCGTGTCAGGAATGTGGGGTTAGAATCAAAGTGGTTAATTACTTCTCCTTGTTATCTGGTTATTCAAGAAACCCAGTTAAAGTTCCAGTACAAAAGCCTCATAACTGGGTTAGAAATCCAGGTTGAGCTCTCTTCTGAATATGAGAGTCCTGGCTAACGCCCTTTGTGACTCTCTTGTGGAATCAGTTGCTGTACGACGGGAACATGTTGCCGCTTGCATCAGGGGAGCATGCTGGCAACCTGCTGTGTCATAAAAACACATTAAATAGCAGCGCCTTCAATAAAGTTTCTGTTTGCATTATAGGCTCTGTTGTTTCTGTGCAGCTGACCAGCTCATACTTACCAGATTAACTTGAGTAAGATAAGAAAGTTTCATAGTGTAAATAATGTGATTACTGTTCTGTACAGTTAGTCTGATTCATCTGAAGCTTTCATACATTTTTATCCACCATCATAGAAAAACACACACACATGCTAGCATACACACGCTAGTATACAAACACCATGTTAGGCTAACAGCTGACATATATGATCTTGTCTAAATTTAAACACACTGCTTGAACTTCCTGTTGTCCAGATGCTACCTGTGTTCGTATCATTTTCTAGATAGAAATGACTGGTAACTGTGACATTAGCAGTAATACACATTCAAAAAGTGCAACATGTTCCAAGGACATTTACAGCAAGTGACATTTTACTACACAATTTATTTATTGTTCTTTCCTGACTGTTGGAAAAACTAAAAAGCAGAAACACAGGGAATTAAAACGGCTTGACTGTTTGTTTTGTGGTAATGAGTAAGAGGAAGTTCGCTGTTTGTCAGGAGTTTGTCAAATGTTATGATGACATTGATCTCTTTTATTAGCTCTCATAATGTAGACTTAATGTCTTGCAGCTAATTATTTGTTAGCATAAAGTAATGCCTGTAGTCAGTGCTGTGTGCGTTCACACGGGAAGCATCCGTATCGATTATATCGACTGAATTTAGAGCTCGGCTCCTTGGCCGTTCCCGTCTTTGAGGAGAAGATCTCAGAGAGACTCTTTATTGTTTCAGCATCTACTTCGAGCTGCTTTGAGCTGCTCCCTTGTCACACATTTGATTTGGCAGTTTTACACCAGATGCCCGTCCTGATCTGACCCCCCTAAGGGGGATATGTTTCTCCAGCTGCAGTCAAACTAGCAACCTATCAAGAGTTATCTACTGCACTGTGGAAGCACATGATTTCAACATCTGGCTTCAACATCTGTATGAAATGAAAAATAAAAGTATACCGTTAAGAACGGTCATATAGTTGAAAATTGTCTGGTTTATTATTTGGAGAAAAAAGAATAAATCTGTGGTTTTGCTGAGATTATATTTGGGTATTGACTCATTCACGTTTTTTAATTTTTATTAAAAAGTTCACATTTAGTATGGCACAAAAAGCTTTTTTTAAGCACTATAAAGCGTGAGTGCAGAGGGAATTTTTAATGATATTTCCTGAAAATTCTTAGACTTGCCGAACTCTGAAACCTTCAAAAATCCAGTCTAAACATGTTCTATCTTTCTGTGTCGTCACATTTTCATCAGGAAGCATTGAGGTTTTGAAAACACCAAATGGCCTTTTGCTTTGTTTTCTCATCTTCTTCTAATTTTCTTGTTAATAAATCTAAGTCTAAATTGTAGTATTTGTCTGTTTTTCAGTTGCTGGACATCAATTGGACTGGGCTCACAAATATGTTGGACATTCCTGGTGTCAAGTAAGTACCTGCGGATAATTATTTATAAATAAAATCGGTGTGATTTATGAGGGTGTCATGCATTGTTACAGGCTGGATTGACAGTTATTTGCATTACGAAAGCAGGAGACATTCTTTAAGTTCAGTTCAGTTCCAATAAACTGGAGAGACTGGCATCCCCACACTGCAGGGAAGGGTTTGTTATGGGAGAGCAAGATGGTTAAAGTCAAATAGAGAAGTTCGGTCTTCTGATTGAATCTTTTCAAAAGCAATGACTGTCACACGCAGTGATGAATCACAGAGGAATGACTGCTGTCCCACTGAGGCATCGTAATAGTGTCACTGGATGTTTGAGGCTATTTGTTTCACATAAACTGTGTTATACTGGAACTATTCTCTCTCTCATGCACAAGCACGCAAACACGCACCTACCGTTCTCTTCCTGGTGGGGGCGTTGTCACCCACCATGATTCCAGAGTGTTTTGTGTAGCTCACATGCTGCCGCGGAAGTTGTTGAGCATGATAAATGTTTCATTCCTGTTTTAATGCCGTGTAAACTTTAATTCCTCGTCTAACATAAAAACCAGATGTGCATTATTATGACATATTGTGAGAATCGCTGGGCACGTTATTTGAGATGATTTAAGAGTCCGTGAGTTAAAGTTGGATGCTGTGGGAGCCGAGAGCGTCTAATCTGTAGTGAGAGGCAGAGAGACGGCTTACCCACCTTTAATAAAACCCAGTTGCTTTTCACTGCTGTGTTTTGTGAGAAGACTTGTTTTCCGTTTTGGTTTCCGTTCAAGAATATTTTCCTTATTCTGCTGAGCTCATGGAAATATTAATTTACCTGGACATGACGCAAAGATTTCAGCTTGCTTCCAGCTGCAGCCACTGCAAACTATTAGTGTTTAACACAAAAACAGGAGAAATCAGACCCTGAATGACTTACAGGGTCAGTTATTAGTTCCTTTAGAGTTGGATTGTTTATTAAAATAGCTGTGAAAACTCTTATTTTGCAAAACTGTGGGGGGGAAAGACACAAATTAGAAGTGTAATTTGGGCAATTCAAAGCAAACTGCTTTTTTATGGGAAATAAAAAGTCTTGTAACACATAATCTTTTATTCAGTATTCATTCAAGCTTCATGATTTCTCTTTTCCCAGCTGCCTGGAAGTATGAGCTGAAAACAGACACAACATCAAAGTCTGGCTGAACTAGGATCACTTAATTTTAAATCAGAAAACATCTCACTTTCGATGAGTTTCACCACGTTACAGTTTTGGAAGCTCAAACATGCTGATCACTCGGAATCACGTTAAAGAGACACGCAGCCCGAGCAGGCTCTCGGGCTCTGATGCTCAAACTATTACGTTAAAAGCAGGATCGCAGAATGGATTATAACCATTCATTTTCCTCTAAGTGTTGATATTTTTAGCTGTGTTATTATGAAAGGAGACCTGCCACAGACAGAGATGGGATGTTGGTTGGATTTGTGGGAAGATTTTCCAGACAGGAATTCTTTTTTTCATCTTTAGGGACACAGAGAAGTCTTTGGTTTCTAAGCTTTAGGTCTTTTATTCCATTTTAAAGGGAGCAAATGTGTTTGCCAGATCCAGCTGTGTGGTCATTTGTTCCCTTAGTTGAGTGAAATAGATGTTCAGCAGAAAAAGACACTGAAATCTTTATCACTACATGTGCTTCATTTTATGCTTGTCTTTTATGCCTACAATAACTTAACTTCAGAGAAGACCTTCAAGTTGTTGCTTTAACTCGTCTGCCAAAGTCGATGATACGTGATGAAACTTTATGTGAAAAGTGTCTCTGATGCTTTAGAGGATTTTTATTTTATTTCCCCCTTAAAGTCAAAATGCAACAACAAACTTTGTCAGTATTGACTTTTTCTGGTTTGTTTTAGCTGAAATTGAATTCACAGACGTGTGTAACCTTAGATGAAAGTAATTGTCAAAACTTCTTCTTATTTTAACTACCAATTTGTATTTTTTACAAGAGAATAATCGTCCTAAATGTTAATAAGGTTTATGTTAATGAATTTTACAGCCTGTGAGCTTCCTGCGGTTTGTGCTTTTACCTTTTGCAGCAGTGGAGAGAGCTGAAAGCAAAGGCACATGAACATGCTTCATGTTTGTACAAATGTGAGCTGACAGACTGAGGTTAATGTAATAAGCGAACACTAATAACAGTGATCAGTGATGCAGGTTATTATCCACTTCAGGTTAGTATTTAACCAGGCTTACACGAGGCTCTCGTGGCGCTTCCACCACTTTTACGAAAACGGCATTAAGAGTTATTTTGACTTTTTTGACTTGTGAAGGCAACAAATATAAAACCACGTCGTGTTGGCAGAGAAACAGACAGCAGAGTCAAGCCCAGATCCTAAGACCCGAGCTCTAATTGTCTCGCGCTAACATTGTGGTGTGTTTGCTAGATGGCGTTTAAAGCATCTTCTGTTTAGTTCGGCTTCCAGGTTCTTGCTCTTGTGCGATGGTGTTGCCTTTTAACATCACTGTGCTATTAAACATAAGTGTACAGTAAAGTGTATATAAAGGGCTGTTAGGAGCCTTTATGCTCTTGATGATTTGATAGTGGTGCAGCAATTTTTTTTGTCGCACAGTGTGAGAGTGCATCAAAGTGTGCTTCAGAGCCCAGTCTTTATAAAAGTCCATCCAGTTGTTGTCGGGATGTCAGTCTGCACCAAAGTGTGTTTTTTTTCCCACTGACTTTTAAGTTCTTGAAGTTCGCTTCATTTAAAACCCTTTTTAGAGCCACAGCTCCCTGCCCTGCCTGCTGTTAGCACACTGCTAGCTGTGTTGTTACGCCTTCATTGGCGTGCTGCTGCTGGCTGGTGGTTTACTATTTGTTGTCAGCAGAGAAACACTGTGGTTTCCAAATAACTCCACCCTGTGAAATGTAACTATCCTTGTTCAGCAAGTTCAAAGAAAGTGTGTGTGTGTTTGTGCACTTTTGTGTGTGCACGTGTGTGTGTGTGGTGATTGAGCTACAGACCTGTGATAGCCCCACCCACCTCTTCCTGTGCGTGAGGGCGCTCATATTTCCTCACTGAGTATTTGCATTTAGCCCCGAAACAGTAGGAAAACCTGAGGTCACCCCTAGCTGCTTCCTTTTTGAATAGCAGCATTAATGCCACACACACACAAACACACACACACAACGTTCAGTCTATTACCAAACCGAGCTCCTTTTATAGGGTTGATGGGATGTGTTGAAACTTCATTGAGTCTTTAAGCATGGGCCTGGCAGCAGAACTGCACCACTTAATCTCATCTGGAGACAGTTATGTAGTTAAGCAAGCAGCTCAGGAATCAGCGTGTCGACACTAAAATCAAGTTTGCGCTGATGTGAAATCCCAGAGTAAAGCTGACCCAGAATCAGCTGCTCCAGAGGATTAAGTCATCCCTTCTGAAAGCAGCCGATGCTGTTCCTTACACAGGATGCTGCTGCCACCTAGAGGAAAGAGGTCAAATATCAAAGGATGATCCATACACAGTATTTAGTTTGCTGTCAAATAGAGATCATTTTGGCTTAATACAGAGGAGGTGATTGAACTTTTCCTATTCAGAAATTCAATAAGAACATGATTCCTCCAGAAACGGTGTCTTGATTACTCCTGTCTTAGAACAGTTTTACCTGGAGGTAGTTGCCGCCAAACAAATAGTTCCTGCCAAGCAGTTGCAGCTCAATCAGAAGGCAGAGCCTTTCTGTCTGCTTGCTTCTGCACAGGAAAGATGGTTGTTTGTCTTCTATTTATTTGTTAGCTTTTTTTGTCAGCTTTGCATCTGAGGATTACTTCAGAATTTATGTTCTTCATAAGTCAGTGTGCCGTGTGCTTCTTATGGGTGTGGCTCAGATATGTGACAAACTGTATGGTCACCTGACTCTGTCACATATACTTAGACATACCACAGCACTGAATCTGTACACAAACAACAGCTGGCATTTACTGCTGTCTCAGTATACTTGTTGGCTGTTTCCATTCTGGATGGGTAAAGATCTGTTTTTCAGCCACTAAATGCATTTCTGCAACCAGAGGGAAGCATGCCTGAGCACAGGGCCTCGCTTTGCACAGCTGGATATTTTAACACAATATAACATCAGTTTTAATAATTTCTTACATTTGTTCGTCATCTTCCCTCTCTCCTTCTCTCCCCATCCATCACTCTGTCAGTGGGTTATGTGACAATCTACTGCAGGACATCATCTACAGCTACCTGGTGCTGCCAAACCGCATCGACATCCCGCTAGTGTCAGAGGCCCAGATGGCTAGACTGCGCTTTCCCATTCCCAAGGTAACACAATGCAGCCAAGTAAATTATAGCTGCTAAAAAAATATATAAATAAATAAATTAAACGGGTGAATAAATCTGTAATTTGATGATTTCCTCAATGCTCTCAGAAGCTCTGATAATAATCTTTCTGTGTCCTCAGTGCATCCTGAGAATCCACTTCATCGAGGCTCAGGAACTGCTGCGTAAGGACAAGTTCCTGGGAGGGCTGGTCAAAGGGAAGTCGGATCCGTACGGAGTCATCAAGATTGGGACGGATCTCTATCAGAGCAAAGTCATCCACGACACCGTAAACCCAAAGTGGAACGAAGTTTATGAGGTAAGCTTCAGAAGACGCTGCACGGAGTCACTGGTGACAAGATTAGAGTGTAATATTGTCCGATATCTTTTTTGTTTTGTAGGGTTGTTGTAACATATAACAGTATTTAATATCAAGGTTTTTTTTCAATCTCCTGATTCAGTTGAGTTTTTAATTAATAAAGGTAACATAATGGGTGCAAATTTTTGGCTAAGAAAGCTGTTTCTGCTGTATTTTCCATGTTATGCTGCCCCAACTGCACCATTAAAATACACAAACACATAACATGTAGTGACAAGATTTAATATTTAATTTTTAGATTTTAAAGAAACTAAAAATCAAGACTAAATGATGGGTTGGGGTTTTTTTTGTTCTGTGCTTTAATATTTTGATCAAAAAAGAGACCAAAGATAAATCTGTCCATGAGTTTGTTTTTTAGGATGTGATTTAAATATTTATCATGTTCATCTGGTTTGATTTGTGAGCCACCGAAACATATTTTATTTATCTGTTCCCTTCCCTTTGTCTTTGTGGAAGAGGTGAATGAGCAATAATGAGGAATAAATGTTTCTCCTGACAGTAAGAAATTAGTAACTTCATCTAATTGGATGTAATCTGTTGTCTTGTTTTGATCTGGCACCAGCAGTGGACCTGCTCAGTACAAAGTCAATGTGTTTCCATGCAGTCTGCAGCCGCGCCTTCTTGTTTGTTTGTGTGTGTACTGTGTGTGCAGTATGTAGTAATGCAGTTTATTTTCAGGCCTTGGTGTATGATCACTCGGGGAGCAGTATGGAGATTGAACTGTTCGATGAAGACCCTGATCAGGACGACTTTCTGGGAAGGTAACGCTGCTTCTTAGGCTGGATTTTAGCTGAGTCACAGAAGACTGTTTTAAAACGACAGCTGTCATCCTGAATTTAGCGTTTTACTTTTATAATTACGTGATGGTTAAATAATTATTCATCTATCAAGTCAAATGCAAAAACAAATTCTTCTTTAGTGGCTAAAAATAAAAAAATAAAAGTGTGGTGCTTTTTCTGTTTTTCTAACTTCTTTTTTTAAGTATATTTGTTATTTTTGAGGATGCCACCTTGGCTCGGAGAAAGCATAATGTTTAGATATTTTCAGCTTTATTTACTGTAGTTGATGACTGGCGTTCTAAATTGAAACACGCAATTCATATTTAAAGAAAACTTCTTTAAAAAAATCTTATCAGTGTTTTTCTCACTAATTTTTACTGTTTGCTGTTTGATGTGATTCGTAACAGGTTTTCATCAAAGGACGAGGCCTCTGAAAGCAATCGCAGCTTTCAAGCCGAATCCTTGGTGGCGTTTAATGAAAGCAGCGCTGCGTGTCTGAATTTCATTTCCCACCAGACTTCATTATTGCGCAGCGTCAAGACACAGTGTGTCGTGTGCTGTGATGAGTCAGCTTCATTCTGAAACCCTCTGTGAAAATTTAATCAACAGAAGGCAAAAATAAGGAAATTCCATCAGCAGCTTATATTTATAACTAATTCATTTTTTTCCTGTAAAAAATCCAAACACCCAGACAGTCTTTGATAAATGTGAATTGCTGTTATTATTTAGGACTGGGCGTTTGGCAAAATGAGACATTTGAGGATATTACACTGCGATTTTAAATTTTATTTGTATTTAAATTCTTCATAACTTGTTTTTCCAGTCTTGCAATCAACATGGCCGAGCTCCAGAAGGAACAGAAGGTCGATGAGGTGTGTGCTGCATTCAATGCTTTTGGCACGCTGCTGGTTTAAAGTAACATTTCAGTCGTTTAATTATCCAGTTAGCAATTTTATTCACTTATCACATTAGACTTTAATGCTGTTTTCTTGTTTCTGCACATGCAAGTGGAAACTCTTGGATTTTTCTTTTGCACTTTGTAATAATGTTATGTTTTTGTAAGTTTCAGTAGGACCCTGATGCACAGGCATATGATGTCATTTGTTGTGTTTTTGTTTGCTTTGCATTATCTGACATCACAATAGCCAGTCAAACTTAATGATGTCAAACAAATAGATTGAACTAGTGAATTTAAGTTGCATTTTTTTAAAATTAAGAATTATTTTTATAACTTGCATCATTTTAAGTAATTCAATAAAAAGTAAATGAGTGATGATATTTGCTGTAATTACAATTTTGCTCTTCCTGAAATATAACAACAACTTTTCTTCACTTCAGTGGTTTCCATTGGAAGATGTGACCACAGGGAAGTTACACCTCAAACTGGAGTGGCTGTCTCTGTTGTCCACCCCTGAAAGGCTGGACCAGGTACAGTCGCCAGAGGGAGCTTAAATCCAGCACTCCATTTACATTTTTAAACTCGCTATGTGAGATGTTGTCTTGCTTGGTTGGAACTTTAACTCTGCTTGAGCCTATCTTTGCGTTTTTCCTCCCAGGTGCTGTCGGGCATCAGAGCAGATCGCAGTCAAGCCAGTGACGGCCTCTCGTCTGCGGTGCTCATTCTCTTCCTGGATTCGGCCAGAAACCTTCCGGTGAGTCGACCCGGCCGAACGTCGCACTCATGAACGGCAGCAGCGTTAATTTACACAAATGATGATTATGTTGATATAGCTGCTCTGTTCATTGATCTAAGCGTGTTAAAGCTCAATGAACCAGTGTTTGCAGTGTTTGCTGAGCTCTTAGTTCTTCACTGGGATTTTGTTTTTTCTGCAGTCTCTGAGATCAGTTTTAATTTTTGCCTGTATCACTTCGGCCTCTTGCTTTTCTGCTTTCTGAACTTTTTTCTTGTTCTTCTCTCTGTCGTAATATCTGTTGTAATAACCTTAAGCTTTTCATATTTTTTGCAAGCATACAAGTAAAAATCAAGCTCTGAAAAGTTCATGTAAAAAGCTGAAGATTGAAAATTGCTTTGGAAGAGAAAAATTGTCTTTAAGTCAGAAGAGCAGAAGTGCTGCTCAGTACTGACTTCACCTCCAAAGCTCAGCAAAGAGTTTGAGGCGAATGGTTTATAATATTACTGAAGATCTCCATTAAAAAAAATAAACTACATTTTATATTCTAAACATATTCAGCATATTTCCTTAATGTGGTAGTTTTACTTTGTCGTCCTACATAGAGAATACCATTTCAAATTCCCTGTACGGTGGAAACATACATGAACTCACTCGCTGTTTGTGACAGGTGGTAAAAAGCTAACTCTGTTAAGAGCTGTTCATTTCTGATTTCTGTAGCACAGACCTGACCTTCCTCTTTTCATCCTCCTCTTCTCTGCTTTTCCTCTTGCTTCCTCACCTCCTCTTCCCTCTGAAGAGTGTCTTCGAGGGGAACTTGGGCTCTGGCTACTTAAAAGAGAGGCGCGCGTCGGGCCTCGTGTTTTGCGAGAACACGGCTTCTCTCTATCGGAGCCTATTTGTGAGTCCGCTGGCAGTTTTCTGCATCCTGCAGTGTGAGAATGGCATGATTAGAGAGCTTCCTTGTTTGTTTGCCTGATGAGCATGGATCCCTACGTGTGCTTGGGTTAGATTCCCTAATATAATTATTGTTTGTTAAATTGTTGTTGATTGGTTTGACTGATTCCAAAGCTGAGGAACATGAGAAAAAGGTTTGGCTGGAAGATGATCAAAACCACAATGATGGTTTACATTTAAGGCCTGTCAAAAGCATCCTTCCTCCACCATTATTGTGTATTACAAGATATTAGTGGTCTCGCAGAATGAGTAGACTTATGGTACATTGTTTCTACTAATCAGGTTTCATGTTCTCTTCACCGCAGCTAATTCAGTGTCTCAACGGCTCATTTCCTCCTAAGAAGTAAGCCATGCTGATGTTTTTCTGTTTGGCTGCCGACACAGATTCCATTTTATCAGAGCAATTGAGTTTTACTGTAAAAGGGTAAACAAATCAATACTGCTCTGTGGATACTGTTAAAAGCTATTCAGTCCTACTCTGTGTTCTGCAATGAGACAGCATAAAAAACAGAAAATAGTTTGAACCATTTCGATGTCGTCTTCTCGAACACATCAGACATCAAAAGTTTAAATTTAAGTTCATTTCAGTGCTCACAGACTTGATTTAGTCCAAAAACAGGGGCAAAGTTACTGATCTCAGTTGTTTTGAAGTGTGTAAGGAGGAAGGCATGCATTTTGACCACTGTGAGATTTTTAGGTTAGGGAGGGTGAATTCTCTGTGGATTGCTTCCCTCCATCCTTCCTGTTTAAGCCCATTGTGTGTTCAGGTTTTCCCCTTCCCATGTGCCCACTCACTTCAACTCTGACATCACAGGCCAGAGCTCCACAAAAACCTGAAGCCAGTGTGATTATTTTTAAAGTAATGCACAGACTGTGTAATGGTGAATGCTAAGATGGCATTTAATTTATAGTAGACATACGGGTCTCTTTTCAAGGAATGATAATGTGAAATGTGAGAAGCTTCTTTTCATATGTTCCTGCTGAATTCAATCTTTTATCAATACAATGTTTAGGTGTGGCTGTAAACGATTTTTATTTTGGGTCAGTCCGTTCGGTGAGGCCTGAGTGTTTTGGGGAGATCTGAAGATGGCGCACTCAGAGTAGCCTTTAGCTGAATCATCTCATTCATCTAACTATTGACTTGACTTCAAGGGTTTGCCTCAGGGGCCTCCTGTTTGAATTCGTGAGGCGTCTTTTATCGAATTGTTATAGATAGTGATGGACCTCGTTGGAAGAAATGGTTAATTATAGAATGAGGTATAAAAGATCTGAGAGGATAAACTTCAATGATCATAGGTTATCTGTCCTTGATATCAAGTATCTAACTGTTATTGCATACAAACAAAACTCAACAATAACCAGGTTTTATAAGAGTGACCAGTAAAGGTATCAGCATGTGTATATCTGTTAGTTTAAATGCCAGATAAGCTCACACCCCTTGAGGGTTGGCGGGTTAGGGTTAGGGGGCAGTTACATCAAAGCCATTTTATTCCTACTGAACCTTCATATTTCTAACCCAAGCTCATCCCAGGGCGTAACATATTCATTCTGTCCATGGTTGGGCTGTTAAAGTCTCTCACTAATTCCCAAAACCTGACGCATGAAGGCCCACCCTGAGCGTAAACGAGCCATCAACATGATGTTCGATGACAGCCTTACAGTAGCATGTACAGCTACCCTTCCTTTTCCCCAACAATGCTTCTTCTGTATAAATGAATTGGTTTCTGTCTTTGATGTAGTTGAAAGTTGAATAACAAGGATGCTACATTCTGTTTTGTTGCCATTTCACTCCTTTCTGTTCTTGCTCAACACTGAAACACTTTTCATTGGGTTTGCTGTCCATGGTCTTAATATCATTGTTTTCGTTCCATTTAGAAATCTTTATATTTGTTCCCCAATCATTACTATATCACAATTCATCTGACTTTCATTTTTCTCTGACACCCGTGTATTTTCTTGTCCATTGTATCCGCTGACTCTTATCTAATGCTGTGGTATTTTCACTAGAGTCCAATCAATGTGTTTTGGCTGATATTTTTGCATAATAAATGAACTGTAGATCTAAACATCTTTTAGAATCCTCAATATTTCATTAAAACAGAAAAAGACGTGAGTTTTTAATATCCAAACTATTTAATAGTGTCTAAAAGTAATGTTATATCAACTTGTTGTTGATATACAATGTTTTCATTCATCGCTGTATGTCAGCCTGAACTTGCTGTTGGTTGAGCTCTAGTTTTAACCTCATGTCACGGTTTAATTGGGGAATAACACTAACCATGTGATCATCCATGTTGTCTCTCTGTCTTTGTCACTGTGCGGTGCATCCCGATACATCTGGTGATGCCGATGGTGTTGATGTGCTGACACCAATCCTTCCTCCACCTCTTCCCGGCATGCTCCTCTTTTCCCAAATAACCTGGTGGTGTGTGTCTGTGTGTGTCTGTGTGTGCTGTTGTTCACTCTCTCCTTCCTTGTCCCTGTGGGAAAATCAAAGCGCAATCCGTTAGAGTTCAACCAAGCGGGGCTGAGGAAGGGCTCGGTCAGTAAGGCCATCAAGGTAATGCCACGGCAACCAAGCACACCCATCCCGATCAGACACTGAGAGGAAATAATATAAAGGAAATACAGTAACGCTTATGCACAATGTGACCAAAAGTATATGGACTCCAATGTTTTGTTTGAGAAAATTGTCTTAATTGTTGTGAAATAAACAAGAGCTTGTGGATGTTGGAGTGTCTGTTTTGGAAAGTTACAGATTTGGTTTCTCCGACTGTAGATGTTGATAAATTCGATGTCAGACATCGATTTGGGGGATTTCTAAACAATTTTTTTTTATGTATGTAGCTTTAAGGTTGAGGGCAATGTTATGCTGAATAAGTAGAAAAAATGAATGCTGCCATTAAGTTAAAGAGCGCCGTCTAGAATATCAAATGCTTAAGGCTCACGTTAGTCAAAATAGCATCGTTATATTACCTACGGTTATTTTTATTTGCCGTGTGGCTCTGTTCTGTAACCTCTGGGCATTTCTGCCCCTACATTTGGCAACCATAAAGTCAGGGACCCGAGCAGCAAGATCCCCTCACCCACAACAGTTTGACATTGAAATGTAAGAAATGGTGAAGCTGGAGATGAGGTGGGTTACAGAGTGGCTTGCAGAAGCAGCATAATGACAATTCACCATGAGAGAATTGCAAACCAGCTGAGCCATAAGCTGATGCAAGCTGGCACGTAGATTTACTTTTATTTAAATCACGCCATATCACATTGTTGCTTCAAGGCACTTTGTATTAGGAGATAAAACCTCAGTAATCAGATGAACAACCACTTGGTGACACCGGGAAGGAAAAACTCCCTTTTAACAGGAAGAGACCTGAGCACAGGGAGATGGGGCAAAGCTGCTCTACTGGGATTTCTGCTGAAACTCTGAAGATAAAGGGTGTCCACATACTTTTGGCCATGTAGTATATGAAGCAGTTAAGCACATTCAGGGAAAAACATCTAAAACTTAAAATACTGATCTGAGTAGTCTGAATTTGTTTCTCAGTTTCCCGTTGCTAGTTTTGCTACTGATAGTTATTTTGTAGTTCTTCTAAAAGTCAGAAGTCACAGCTGATTTGTGGCGATACCCTTTACCAATCCTGTGGATACTATTACTGATTTAGACACTCAAGACAACTTTTAGGGAAAGTTGTGGCAACCTTAAACAGTCAAGGAGTTTATTTGAAATGGTCAACCAAGCTCCAAGAATTGCATTTAAAATATTTACAGTGAGACTAACATGTCTGTTGTGATGGTTCACAGACCCACTATTAAGAGCTTTCACTGGAACTACTTTCGCCAGAAGAAAATAGTTCCTGTTTGAAGCGATTTGCAAAGAGGTCTGTGGGGATTTTCAGCAAAGACATGCTTCTTTTAAATATTTTAATGTTACTTTTATTGCTGTTCGCAGACTAAATAATAACATCAAACATCTAAAAATCTGTATTGTTGTATTAAAACTCATTAGGTCATGTTCGCATTAGGAAGTGCTGCTGTAGCATCCAGAGCAGCTTCACAACTGATCATGTTTCCTGTTTTTAAAACTCATTAACAAACTCCTCTCATCGTGTTTGTTGACTAAAACCGATTCTAACAGCGTTGTTGTCTGAGCTACAGTTGACATTTTTTTTGACTCTAATCTTTTCTTTTACAATGATCTGGTGTGGTTTCTACACTAACTGGTTCTGGGCACTTTTACCTGTTGTCCTTTTTTTCTTTAATTCCTTTCTTGAAAAGTCACAAAATGACACTGTGTGAGATAGAAATTAATTTAATCAGTGGAGTTCAGTGTCACTCCTTTTGTTTCAAACTGAAGTCCAAAGAAACACTCACTCTTGTTATCTATAATGCTAGCATACCCAGTCCAATATTATTACTGTTTGTTTGTTTGTCCTGCTGTAGTCTGGTAAGAAGGTGACCAGTGATCCCAGCCCGTTTGTCCAGTTCAGAGTGGGACACAAGTCCTACGAGAGTAAGGTGAGAGCACGTAAAATCCACATTTGGTTGATTTATTAATTTCCCAAGATGCCAATTATGAAAATTGCAGCTATTTTTTTGTACATAAAAGACTATAAATGAATTGAATCAAAGCTTTAATAAATGTAAATAAATGTACGTTCAGGCTGTGATTGGTTCACAGCACGTGAGCCCTGTACCTGTACACTTGCTTCTTGACTTTGAATGTATGATCCATCTTGGCTTAATACTTTCTTCTTCTCTTCCTTTCTGTCTGTTTCCAGACCAAGTATAAGACTCATGAACCGTTGTGGGAGGAAACCTTCACCTTCCTCATCCACAATCCCAAAGTCCAAGAGTTGGAGGTTGAGGTATGAAGACATTCAGCTGATTTTATAAACAGTTAAATGCTTATAAAATGGAATATATGAACTGTAACTTACATTATGCCTTAAAATAAAACTTCATCACACTTAATATTTCAGGTGAAGGATGAGAAGCACGATTGTTCACTGGGGACATTAACACTGCCCCTGACTCGCCTGCTGGAGGCAGAGGAGATGACGTTGAACCAGAGGTTCCCTCTGAGGAACTCTGGACCGAGCTGTACCCTCAAGATCAAAATGGCTCTGCGGGTAAAGGAGCAATGATTTTTTTCCTTAAGGATGATTTTTTCAGATCTGAAATGATCCAGGCCAATTCCCTTTGAAGCCATAAAGCTCGCCAGAGACGATGCAGGTCCCACTCTGTGACTTGAGAATTTGGGTTTCTAGAGATTCTGATGAAGAAACGCATGTGATGATAGGCTAGGGGAGAGTCTTTGTACATACTGCTCCACTACTATGACGATGCATCGCATTGCTTCTATAAAACATCAAAAATTCAAACTCTTGACCTTATGTAATTCAGTGAATCAAATTCAATGAGTATTTTCACATTACATGTCTTGCTTCTGCATCACTTATTTATAAAGTGTTATTGTTAATGACATTTTAACCTTTTCTGAGGAATCATTTCAACTATGTATGAGTAATGATTTGGATTTTGAATTTCAGCACACTTTCTGCAGAACAGAAGGCAGTGCCTGCACAGGCCTCTGTTTACCCTCATAGGAAAGCTTATCAGCAGTTCTCAAGTGAATGCTAACAGTACTGCTTAACTAAACAGAAGATTTGTAGGTATTTGTAGGTAAACTGACATAAAGATCCACTGACTAACTTTTCCCTAGAACTGAAACTCCTTCTCAAAACAAAAATATAGAAATGCCTTTTCCTAGGTTTGTTTTTTGTTGCTGTTTATGCCATTCAAAACTGTGAAAATAATTATTCTGATAATGATTTCAGGTGTTGAGTCTAGATAAGGGCACTTCAACAGCTTCAAACTCCACCCCGTCCTCAGTGCAGGTCCGCAAATCCGAGTCCTCCAACTCGACCCCACGGCCCTCTATCTCCTCAGAATCGCCCAAGCCTCCCACCTCTACCTCAGACATTCCCAGATCATCCTCCGTGTCAGCCAAGGAGATGCTGAACAGGCAGAAAGAAGCTAAGGACACTGTGAGGACCCAGCAAAGCATGGACTTTGGGCAGGATGGCAGTGTAGGTGGAGGAGGGAAGAGCTTGGCGGAGACTGGGAGAAGCACCTCAAACCTGGCCATCTCGGGCTCCCAGCAGTACCTGGCCAGTGGCAAGGAGCCAACTCCCAGCATTGCTTCAGACATCTCCAACCCTTACGCTGCTCAGGAGCTGCAGCAAAGACTCGAGCAGTTTCACAAGTATCTATCAGTCTTTATCAATAGTTCCTAATATTTTTACATCTTCTTATCATGATTTAAGGACATGTTGAACAACAAAGGCAGCTGTTTGGTTGGTGTATAAGTGTGTTTTGATAGTGTGCAACAACAAACCTAAGAGGTCATTACAGCTCAGGTATCGTGAGCATGTTTGATGTATTTTCTGTCTTCATAGTGGTTCAGGCCCCAGTCATTTCCCCCTGGGGGAGATCCAGCTGACGATCAGACACAGCTCCCAGAGAAACAAACTCATCGTAGCTGTTCACAGTTGCAGGTAATTAAAAAAAAATGGGGCTTTTCTTCCTCAGACACATTAGTGTTTTGACTCTTACCCTTTGTTGACTTCCTCAGAAACCTCATAGCTTTCACTGATCATGGCTCGGATCCTTACGTCCGGCTCTACCTGCTTCCCGACAAGCGGAGGTCAGGTCGAAGGAAAACTCCAACAGTCAAGAAAAACCTCAACCCGGTCTACGATGTGACGTGAGTCCACCCCTCTCACTTTTTTTTTTTTTCAGCCATTTGATAAGCAGAGCAAAGCTCATAAAAATTCACTGTGCCATTCTGCCTGTTTAGGTTTGAGTTCAGCGTTTCCCTCGTGGAGCTCCACAGGCGGAATCTAGATGTTGCCGTGAAGAACGGTGGAGGTCTGCTCTCCAAACACAAAGGCCTGCTTGGAAAGGTGCAGACATCTTTAATTTATTTATGTGTAACTGAAAAGCATTTCTTTAACACAATGAAGCCATCAGAGTGGAAATTTCGCTGGTTTTGAGAGAAGCCTCATTTTGTTAGACTTTGTCTAAATGTTCAAGTATTGCTGTTCTTTCTGCTTCTGGTGTCATATTTCTATGAAGTGCATCATTTTGACTGTATAAGAAAACTTTGTGGGTTTGTTTTTGTTTGTTTTTTAATCAGGTTATGGTGGAATTGACTCATGATCAGATCACCAAGGGTTGGACACAATGGTTAGTCGTTCATCTCGCTTCAAATCTATTTAAAACAAATACATTTTACTTTATTATGTCATATTGAGTTCATAGCATGGCTTGGAGAATAATGAGTTCAAATGTAAGTTTGCTTGTATATATATTTTTTTTGATTGAGTAGATTATCATGAAGTTATTTTTTACATTATATTTTTTGAAATTAATATTGTGAATGCATCAATAGCTTGGATTAGAGCTAGCCTTACCTAGAAACACATGTCACTTGAATATATAAAAAAGGCCTTTCTGTACTATTTATTTATTTAAGTTGTATTGGCCAGTCATTTTTGTGCAGACTCTTTAGAGGCTATTGGCTTTGCCAGTGGGCTATCGTCTAAAGCACAGGTGTCGAACTCCAGGCCTCGAGGGCCGGTGTCCTACAGGTTTTAGATGTTTCCTTGATCCAACACAGCTGATTTAAATGGATAAATTACCTCCTCAACATGTCTTGAAGTTCTCCAGAAGCCTGGTAATGAACTAATCATTTGATTCAGGTGTGTTGACCCAAGGTGATATCTAAAACCTGCAGGACACCGGCCCTCGAGGCCTGGAGTTCGACACCCCTGGTCTAAAGTCTGTGGATTACAAATGCATGTCTCTAGGCTTATTTACTGGATAAAATGGCCACTGTTGCTCATCCATCACTAGTTAGTGAAGACTTAGTTCTCAAGTGAAAGAAGATTAGTCAATTTTCTGCTTAAATATTGTGAGATTGATTTTGTAAAAAAGGCACAGACCTGAGGCCAAACATTCAATAAGCTGTATGACAGTAAACATCCATCAGTAGTTTATAAATCACTGGTATAAGGACAACAGTTGGAGAAAGGGCAAATGTGCCTGTAGTGGAGATAAATGAAAGCGATGTGACGTTAAAGGTTGCAAAAAGCTAGATTTCATGGATTATGAAGCAAACTCTAAACTACTTTTTCCCTCCTGCAGGTATGAGCTGAGCTCAGATGGCCTGGTCAAGTCCAACCAACTTTAAGTCGCCATCATTAGTATCGTCATCATATCACCACACTTCCACTTTATATTCACTTCACTTCCATCTCTACAGTACGATGTGTTTTCTAATAATTTTCATTATTTCTAACTGCAAGAAACAAACTGATTAAGAAAAGCAGCTTTTGACACTCATTTAATCACATCAGTCGCAAGGCAAACCTTCCCTTTAAGAAGTGAGTGATTGGCTAAAGGGAGTATATACATGTAGAGAACTATACTACGTTGTGTAGTGCTATGGAAACCTATATTCTATATTTAGAGAAGTGACTGTTTTTTTGTTGTCTTTCCACAAAGAATGATAGTGTACAAGTGTGTAAATAATGTACAGTGATGCTGGACAAATCAGAGTACAGGGGTGTATTGTAGAAGTGAGAAGGAGTCATGGTGTCTTACTTGGCCAAATGATTGTTTATAATTTTATTTCATTTGATTTAATTTTTATTTTTTAAATGCAAAAACATTCTGGACAGAGTCGCACCAAAGAGTGGAGTATTTTTATTATTTAGCACAGTTGGGGTTTTGGGTAACACAGCAATACACTGGCTTTATTTCACCGTAATAACGAGTGTGTGTGTGTGTGTGTGTGTGTGTGTGTGTGTGTGTGTGTGTGTGTGTGTGTGTGCGCAAAACCCAAGCAAAAATAATGATATGCACACACGTGTGTTGTTTTATTTGGTGGCATGTTTCTGGGTTTACATTGAAATAAGGCCATTATTAAGTGTTACCTGTTTGTTTTGTAAAAACTGAACATGAATATTGCACTTTTTTTTTCTTTGTTTGTTTTTTTTAAATCTGTTGATTATCATATTTACTCAGTGCAAACATCGCCAAAACTCATCTATAGACAAGTACAATTTTTTAAACCATAAGAGGTGGTTAAAAAAAATAGTGTTGAAAGTTCATGGAATAGTTTAACATTTTGATGAAAGTGTTTTACTCACAGGTCTCTGCAAGAAGATGTTTAGCTTAGCTTAGCTTAGCCTAGTTTAGCTTATCGTAGCTTAGCCTAGCTTAGCTTACTTTAACAATAAAGTTTGTGTGTCCTTTTGGGGGGGATTTCTTTCCTCACTGTTTGGGTTACGTTTAGTCACCACAACTACAGGTTTGCCCATTAAACCTGAACAAAAAAAATGCTGAACAAAACCAAGTAACTATTTGTAAAAAGTGTAGAGTGAGACCTATTTCACTCTCACTATTGGCCATGGCTGTTGAGTCAGTGCACAGATGCCAAACATCTCAATGCATACCCGAGACATCGGTGGTCTGGCATTATTCGACACCCTGGGAATGGAAATGGTCCAAATGACCTCAAAATGATCTTTTATTGTACCATAAGGTGCTGTGTTATATAAGTTATCTTTCCTTACAGATAATTTAGTGTTTTGAAATCAGTAACCTTATTAATAAACTAACAGCTGGCTAAAATAATTATTTACAGCAAAGTTGTGTGATGGGACTAAAGACCACATAGAGGAACCCCTTTTTTTTTTATTAGTGATAGCTGAACATCGGTAAAACTAATTAACAAGCCGTGTTTTGAAAGTTTAAGATGTTTTGGTTGCAGAGGGAGGCTCATCAGAAGACTAAGCTAAACTAAGCTAACTCATCTCGACAGTTGCTGGTTTTAAGTTTTACAGGGTTTTTTATTTTTCTCAAAATGTGTTACTATTCTATCATAAAACTGTATTTTAACAGAAGTGTTTTAAGGATCACCCACTCATCCTCCATGTACGTAAAGCCACTATGTGTAGAAGTGTAAATTGTCCACGGACAGTCTCCATTGGTCGTATGGAAAAAGACATAATGACAATCAATTTTGGGTTTTTTTGTTTTTAAACTTTTATTTACATTTTATGGTAGAAGCTTAACATTATAGTGAAAAATCCAAAAATTCTTTATGAGGAAACCTTAAATTATATAATTGTCTGGTTTGAGAAGAAGCCAGTGGTAGCCCCAGGATTTTTTTTTATTTTTTTTTGTTTCTTATTAATTTATTATTGTCCCCTGTTGACTTCCTGTTATATGTGTTGATAAAAAGCAGTAAAAGTCTTGTTTTTCCTGCATTGATATAATAAAGTAATTCATCATTCTCACTTCACTGATGCTCTTCTTTAACTGAAATTCTGTTAATGCTAGTTCTTTGTAACAAATGTTTTGGCTAGTGTTCATTTATGTCACCCGATTTCACAGGGATTACATATTGGAAGGCATCTACACATAGTGGCTTTAAAAATATTTGGCAACATGATTTTCTTCAGTGAAACAAATGTTTCTTTTAAAAATTTATTCGTAACACTCAGAGCAGGTTTTGTTGTTGTTGCGGTAGCATTCATATTTCCACTAGCATCAGCTGTTCAGTTTGTTTATGAATCCACTTAAGTCTTAACTCCGAATGCCATCTGAAGGAAGGTGCACAGACACGAGTTGAAAATGATCTTCTGTGGGTTTTTCTTCTATATCTTTTTAAATACAGTTTTGACTTTACAGCACACAATCCGAAGGGATTTATATCAGAAAGAAATGCAAAACAACCATAGCTTTTGTGTATGTGACCCGACGCAGCCAAAGAACAGCAGATTTTCTGTTGATAAAAGTTGGGGTAGTTTGACCTTGGATTCTCACAATATAACTTCTGGATATTTGCCTTGTGCTCACATCAAGCATTGACAAAGTATTTTACATTTATATATGTTAACTGCATTTTAATGTCTTGATGTTTTTTTTATTTGTGTTTCCCGTCTTGTCTGTAAAGCATCAGATTTGAAACCTGTGCCTCTGGGGTCAAGTTTGTCTTCTCCCATATGGAAGTAACATAACATAACTAAATGCTGGTTTTACATGTATTTTGTGTGTCCGGTAAAAATGACCCTTTTTTCTTTTCCTTTTTTTGTGTGTCATGCAACATAATTATAAATATTCTGTATGCAAGGGGAAAAATTCACAAGTAAACTATAGTATATGACATGTTAGTATTTTGAGACTTGTGTTACATTTGCTGTTAGAGAGAATGGGACTTTTCTTTTTCTCTTCTATTCCATATGGGCTGAAAAGCGATTTCACTTCTGTGTCTTCTTAATTTATCTCGTGCCTTAAAATGTACATGACCCAGAGATATTTACATGTTTGGAAAGAAGCAACAAATTGCTAAAACAGCTTCCTTGTTCCTGAATGTCTCCTAAATGTCTTTTAAAATTAATAAAGAGCTTTGGCTGGCTTATAGCAGCATGAAGCTGTACAGGACTGTGCTTTTTGTTGTCATTTTTAAGACTATAGATGTGTTTTTCTAGTGGATTTGCAGCTTTTGAGGAATTTCTGTGTAAACCTTACAATAATTTATTATGAGAAAATAAACAATAGTCATCTTTATATCTAATCTATTGATGGAAATTATTACGTATTATATGTATTATAGAATCTGCCTTTAATAAGATATCAAATGGAGTATTCAGGACGTGTTAGCCATTTTAATTTTTATAGGCAAAAATTACCTAAAAATTGCAAGTGCAATGCAATTAACATTAACATCTAAGGACAATAACAACAGATAACAGACAACAGTTACAATAATGGTGTATTTAGGAAATATAAAACAAGTGTTAAAACAAAGGACACTTTATCATTATCCAGTGGTGAGGTCATTTGCTTCTAAAGAATAGAGACCTTTGGCATAACTTAAACTTTCATTACCTGTAGGGATTCAATATGGGTAAAGATGAGGCCTTATAAATGAACAAAATCTGGCTAGAAGAAATACAACATTAACCAACAGATCTACTGTTTTTAACATGAATAATCTTGAACTCTACATCAGGTACAAATGGTAAATGGCCTGTATTTGTATAGCGCTTTTCTAGTCCCTAAGGACCCCAAAGCGCTTTACACAACCTGTCATCCACCCATTCACACACACATTCACACACTGGTGATGGCAGCTACATTGTAGCCACAGCCGCCCTGGGGCGCACTGACAGAGGCGAGGCTGCCGGACACTGGCGCCACCGGGCCCTCTGACCACCACCAGTAGGCAACGGGTGAAGTGTCTTGCCCAAGGACACAACAACCGAGACTTCCAAGCCGGGGCTCGAACCGGCAACCTTCCGATTACAAGGTGAACTCCCAACTCTTGAGCCACGATCGCCCAAATGGTTTATTGCTCACCCATTTGCCTTGTGCTCACAGTACTGATGGGTCCTCTAGGTCAGGGATGTCAAACATAAGGCCCAGGGGCCAGAATTGACCCAGTAAATCTGGTATCAGGTTATTTTTAAAATCACAATTTCACAGCCCACAATTACAGAAGAATCTTCAGTGCCATCTTAAATGTGCCTGTGTAGTATTTTAAAAGCAATTTTAATTTGTCGACTTGCCAGTTCTGCACAGACCAATTGTTTGAATGTATAACTGTCTTAAAACTGCAGCTCTTCTTGCCGTAGATACTTGTCTAACAGAAGTTAGCGCTGAGGTAAAGGGTTTTGCACTGTTACCTCACAGCAAGAAGGTCCTGAGTTCAATTCCACCATCAGCCCAGGGTCTTTAGTTTGCAAGTTCTCCCTGTGTTTGCGTTGGTTTTCTCCAGGTATTCTGGCTTCCTCCCACAGTCCAAAGACATGCAGTTAGTGAGAGTAGGTTAATTGGAAACACTAAATTGCCCATAGGTATGAATGGGAGAGTGAATTGTTGTCTGTGTCTATGTGTTAGCCTTGTGACCTGTCCAGGGTGTACCCTGCCTCTCACCCAAGACAGCTGGGATAGGCTCCAGCCCCCCATGACCCCAAAGCGGATGGATGGATATGAGGTTTTGAGGTGAAGAGCATAATTACAGTAGGGAGTCATTTAAAATGCTTTTGACCACAGAAGCCTGCTGTGTGTTTGATAACTGTTGTCATGTAACATTGAACTGTGTCATTACCAAACTGTTGCTGTGACACAAAAATGACAAAAGTTTGATTCAGGTTTGACGTGTACTGTGGATTTTAGATCAACTGTCACCAATAGAGTAAATTCCTTTAATACAGGAAAGTAAAGCTCACTTAGTAAAGTTTCACACACCCAACATAAAGTGCCAATCTCCTGCACTGCATTGCTCTCAGTAAACACTAGAGAATGCTGTTTTGCTTTATTTGTCTTGTAACTCATTTTACATTTTAAACAGGTTCTTGTGGTTTATTCTTAAATGTTTGTCAGAGGTCAGAAATAGATCTGTAGCCATGTTTTCCTTAAACATGTGCAAGATGTAAATAATAATCCACTACTTCGATATCTGTTCAGTGTAACTCAGAGTGTAAAAAGGCTGCTTTAGCTTACATTTGTTACTCTACATATGGCAGAAAAGAGTGAATTTCACCTTTAAAAAAATCCTTTTAATGGACAGAAAAATGTCATCCTGTTATTTTACAGGGAACAAACAGAGACGATAAAATTTGCTCCCAGTTTCATCTGTTTATAAAATGAATCATCCAAAGCTCTTAGATTTGCCGTGTAACCCACTGTGAAGTCATGGGGCCTGTGTCATAAAAACACCATACCCATCAGTGCTGCTTACGACATGGCATTTATCAGTGATAGTCTTTGTGTCCCATGAGGCTCTTGCAAGCTAATGCATGGGCTGTGTTATGTTGTTTGTTTTCAGTAGGTCTTAATATGAAAATTACAGTGTGAGAGGAAATTATGTTTTAAGTGAAAGGTGCTCCAATTATCCAATTATATAGGTGCTCCAATTATAGGCATCTTCTCTGTGGTTTTCAGTTTTATAAAGTTTTCAGGTTCTGCAGAAGATTGTCTGAATTTGTTCTTTATAAGGAGAAAATAAAATTATGCAATATGTGTTCAGACTGTGTGAAAGATTTTGCTGTCATTAAAATGAAAAATGAAGGGATTGCGTGATTTGTTTGTTTAATCATCCAAAAAATGGATTTAGGCTGGTAAGATATCACATTATTTACTTTCTGCTCAAAGATGCTGCACTTACAAGTGCTGCATTTTCCAGCCTTTCCAGCACTAACACAGCTATCCTGATACGTTTCTCTATGTGACCCTGAACACACCACAAAGTAGGAGGTCAAAGAGTTTGACAGAATCAGTCAGTGATTTGTGTGTGCTTGTGTCTCCATTTTGTTCCTGTCCTGAGTGTAAACGTCAGAGATGCTTCAGTATTTACCTACAGACTGATAAGGCCTCTGCAAGCACTGATTTGCTCTTCTAGATGGAAAAACCTGTGTGAATCGCACTCTGACCCACTTTGATTGCTCCTAGATATGCTGACACACACACACACACACACACACACACACACACACACACACACACACACACACACACAGTACAATTAATTTCATCAAGTTTGTCATAAATGACCTGAGCAGCAAGGTGGCAAAGGAGAAGCTTTTAATCTCTTCAGATAGTTCTGACTGGTTAAAACCAGTCACTCCAATCTTCCCATGGAGTGACATAAAACAGAAATGGTTGATGAAGATTCAATAGTTCTTTAAAAGGGATCTACTAGGATCATTTCTAGCCCATTTTATTTATTCCTGAGCCCTTGTAGAGTTGCTTTTTTCGCTGCTTAAAGTCCCTCATCCTCTTCATTGTCTGTCTGACGCAAGCTGTTTTAGCTCCTCTGCTTTTATGCCAACTTTCTTCTGACTGGCTGTTCCTGACAAACAGTAGGTTTGAACAATGAGTGATTGCTGGGGTTTTCTCTGTAGTAATGTAAGAGTATTTCCTTTGCAGTATAAAGCATCTTGAGGTGATTATTGTGTGGGTTGGCATTATGTGAATAAACTGCGTTGAACTAAGGCGCACTTCACTTCTCAAAACAATGTAGAAAAGTGTCGTTTAAAAGCAAATTAAACACTTTTTCAGTATTTTAATCATGTTCCCTTCACTTGGCAAATTCCTTTCACATCTGAAATGAAAATTATAGATTGAGATTGACTGAGGCTTGCTAATTCTTTTGGAAATGACTCCATGACCTAAATAGAATGTTAATTTATCAAGAGGAGTCATAGATGCTCATCCAAAATGTTTCTCTTGTGCACCCAACATCACACATTTCAGGTTCTTTGGCTCATTTCCCCCCCATGTCTATCCCCGGTTCTTCAAGTCTGACGTTTCTCGGTAGGTAGATATAAATAACGTCCCTTGTCCCATCTGCCTTCTACTCAAAAACGGGATTGTCTCCGACAGCACCTGAAGGCAGCGGTAGTGCTGAATCAGAGTTCCTTGTTAAATCATCAAGTCAGAAAAAAAACTGAATCTGGATATAGAGCGATGTAACCTTCAAAATAAAAGCTTTAAAGACGGTTGTGACGTAAAATTTGAACCTTGCAGTGACGGTTAAATACGTCTATGCGTATACATATAAAGCAAAATCATCAAAAATATATATATAAAAAAGTATTTTGATCAATTTGATCAATTTAAATGTTTTTTCCTAAATGCTCCAGACAGTCTACTATGCCTCCACTAGGGTGGATGTGCATATAGACAGCTGTTAGAGTGTTTATGTTTGCATCTGCATTTGTATATAAGCAAAAGGTGAGATAAATGTGCGCGATAACCATCTATCTATCTCCATGTAGTTTGTGTGTGTGTGTGTGTGTGTGCGTGTGTGTGTGTGGGGGGGGGCATGGCATGTAAATCAGGCGGGGTGGCAAAATGAAAGGCACTTCTTTACACATATGCAGGTGTTACATTCTGTAATATAATCTATATATGGTTAAAAGTATACACGTTTCATGAAACATTGCCTGTAATTTTTATTGGCTTAAACCCTAGCATAATTAAACATTTCATTCACAAAAAAATATGCGCAGTTTACTGACATTTTGTGTAAATTTAAGTATGTAACAATTTGATTACATACTTAAATTTACACAAAATGTCATTAAACTGCACTGTCGGTTCAGTCTTACTTGTAAAGTATTAATGAAAGCTTATTTTTTAAAAGAACACTATGCAAATTAAGGTGGCACCCCATGCCACCGCAGTAGATCCGCCCTGTGTGTGTTTCTAAAGTTTTAATAATTATTATTTTAATTTGAGCTTTTACTTTGGAAAATGTCTATCGGAAGTACAGTGTGTGAGTGCTTGTGTTTTGATGCTGCGAGAGCTCGAGCCTCCAACAGCAGAAACGCCCAGCATCCTCTCTCCTCTCCTCCAACATCCATCCACCGTCTCCTCCGCTCCTCCGGCTGCGAAGGGGCCGCTCTGACTGGGAAGGAAGAAGAACCAAACCAAAA